GCTGTTGTTTTTTGTTATAGACTCAAAACTTTAATCAGTGAACTAACATGCACACACGAAGGGCACCTTTACGCTGGCCCACAGCAACACAGGTCAGTAGTTACAGAGTCTGCTCCCAAGTACTAAGTTCTTCTACTTCCTAAATCTTCCCTATCTTACCTCCTTTCCACCCCCATCCCACTGCCTGAGTCCTTGTAAAAGCCTTCTGAATGATCTCCCTACCTCAAATTTCATTCTTATCCCATATTTTCTGTATGTTCCCCCCAAATAATCCCTCTCATTTGTTAATCTAGCCACACTCCTAGGGCTGACTGATGTGAACTGGTAGCTCTCAACTGGGTGGCTGTTCACAGATGGCACATACTCTGATGGGTCACTGGCTGTGTCATATGGTTGTCAAACATTGTGAATATCACTCCTTACTTAAACCCTACAATGGCTCCCTAGCATTTCAAAATAATCTAGTCTTTTTAGTGTAACATCTCATGGCTTCTTGTTCTCAGTGCGCAAGCCACAACACCGTGCTGCCTAACCTATATTCTAGTGTCTCCAAGGAAGGGCTTCTTCACTGGGGTCTAGGGGTCCATGTGGGTTTGTACAGAAGTGGCAGTGGGGGAGGGGTAACGTACACTTGCTTGGGAAAAAGATGACATCTTTATTTTTGCTAACCTCTAACTATAATTTAGTATTTGCTTCAATTATGTATGCAGGCAATAAATGATAATAGTATGAGTAACACCTATATTTTGTCACCTATAAAATTACGGAAATTCTCAAATCGCAGTAAACTTGTTGAAGATAACTAAAAAATTATTTATGCTCATTGCTATAAATTTACCCTGGGTGGCTCAGTCAGTTAAGCATCTGACTCTTGATTTCGGCTCAAGTCATGACCTCACAGTCTGTGAGATTGGGCTGTGCATCGGGCTCCTTGCTGTTGATGTCAGGGCAGAGACTACTTAGGATTCTCTTTCTTCCTTTCTCTCTGCCCCTCCCTCACTCACACACATGTTTATGTTTATCAAAATAAACATTTTCAGTATTAATTCTGACTGCTATTATATGTCAGTATTTAATGTGTTAATAAAGTATATATACTATGTATCACAAATTTGTTTTTAAGTTATTTTGATAAATATACTTCAATATAATTGCTTTTTTTGTAGTAATTTCATGTATTTATTTTATGCACTTAGACAAATTATTTTGCGTAGGGGTCCACACATGAGAGAGCCAAAGAGACGCATGGCACAGGGAAGACTTAGACTCTCTACCCTAGTGGCTTCCCCATTCATCCATCCAGTACGCATTTGTTGATTACTCAGCAGGTATCGTACATTGTGCTGAGACTTAGAGATATCAAGATGAGAAAAACATAGTTCCTGACCTGCAGGTGGAGGAAAGGGCAAACCGACCATTTGAATACTCTGTGATAAATGTAATATTGTAACTTTACACAGGGAGCCAGGTGAACTGGGAGAGGGACACCTAACCAAAACCAAGGGCTGGGAAAGCCTCCTGGAGATGACAATGGAGCCAGGTTTTAAAGGATGGATAAGATCCAGAGGTGCCTGGGTGGCTCAGTCAGTTAAGTGTCTGACTCTTGATTTTGGCACAGGTCATGATCTCCCGTTTCATGGGACTGAGTCTCATGTCAGGCTCTACACTGACAGCATGGAACCTCCTTGGGATTCTCTCTCTCCCTCTTTCTTGCCTCTCTCTCTCTCAAAATAAATAAATAAACTTTATTTTTTAATATAGCATTTTAAAGTTTATTTATTTTGAGAGAGAACAGCAGCTTGAGCAGAAGAGGGGGAGAAACAGAATCCCAAGCAGGCTCTGTGTTGTCAGTGTGAAGCTGGACGTGAGACTCGAACTCATGAATCCTCACGGATCATGAGATCCTGACCTGAGCCAAAATCAAGAATCAGATGCTGTACTGACTGAGCCACCCAGGTGCCCCTAAATAAATGAACTTTAAAGGGCAGATAGGATTCAGTCAGGTGAAGAAAGAACACAACCTATGATGCCAAAGGACACAGTATAGTCTTTTGGCAATAACTGTGAGTCTGGTATATTTGCTTCAGGAAAGGGACATAATTTTATGTAGCATTAAAGCACTGCTAATAAACATAACTGTCTGATACTGTATATAAAGTCTCTAGACCTGGGAGGGAGGTTGGGAGGGAAGGCAGGCGGGCAGGCAGGCAGGCAATCAGCCTGGTGGATTTTTCATAGTTAAAAAGGTCCAGTTTCCTCAAGAAGATAAAAAGTTCTCTTCATGTGGACAATGGAAATCCAGTGGTAGAAAATTTGAATTTAGAACCAAAGCCTGGTGATGATAGTTTTCTAGAAGATGAGAAAGAATCCAAAAGCCATCCACATGATGTAGCAGAGAGACTATTTTTAGACTAACTTTCTTGTGGCTTCCTGACTGGATGGCACAAAGATGCGTTTTTTAGAACTGTCTTAAATTAGTGGAATATTTGAGACACACTATAAGATCTTTGTAACAAAATATATGGCTCAAAAAGTCTTCACACTGGAAGGTAGCCCTGGAAGGGCTGGAAGGGAAGCCCTTCCCTGGAAGGGAAGCCCTGGATAGGTATGAAGTTTTTGAACATATATGTTTGGCCTGAAATGGGACTGGGTATCCTTGACTAGAGTATCTAAAAAGGGATATGTCTTGTCTTGGAAATCGGTTTTCAAGCTGAACTACTTATCAGGGTTGTTTGGAAGGCAAGAGGCATTGCCCACCATCTTCCTAAAAGTATGTACCCTTTCAAGTTTCCTTATTTTCTCAAGCAAGACTGAAACATATGTTGATTCAACTTTTACCAATATTAAATTACAGCATGTTTCCTCTTTTTTCATTACAGAAAAAAAGTTGCAATAAACTTCCTGTCTCTCTGTACCTCGTTTCACTTAGGAATTGCAACTATATTATTCTAGTGGAGAGATCAAACTTAGCCGGTACAAATGATAATCAATGAACTGCAAGGTAGTTTTGCATCATTAAACTAAACAATGCTTTGCTTTCCAAAATTCCACAAGTACATTTAATGCTATCTTAAAAACAAAACAAAACAGTTTTCTGTAGTTGGAAAAGTTTATTCTTGTGACTGTGTTAATATTAACCTTGAAATGCCTGCCATCTACCATTATACTCCCGTATTTCTCTCCTGAAAGTTTCAGGAAACTTACAGTGCTCCCACAGTTACCGTAAGCAGACTTCGATCTGGGAATGATTACACTTGCATATGGATTTAACTTAGGACAGGAATAAGTTAGCACCTTCTTTTGACCTCTTTCTGAGAACAACATACAAACAGAATCCCGAAATGATGAGTATTTTACAGCAGCTGGCTTACACAGGTGGTGAGATGGGCTTCGACACATGACAGGTCTAGTCATTCAGCAAGTGTGAATTTTGGAAGTGAGCTTCTGCCAGTCTTATTATTAACTGGGAATTGAGTTGTTTTTATGAACTTCTAGCCTTGAGAACTTAAATGCTTTTTTGAAACAAATTCACTTATAATCTAGCTGAAAAATAAAATACTGTTTTTCTTGAATTTTTACATCCTTCAACGACTGGAAACAGCTGAAAGGCCTGGAGAGAGTGTTCTTCTGAGGCCCCAACCTCCTCCATTCAGCTAGTGAGGGTTTCCTTCTGGCTTCAAAATTTCAGTCTCTAGCCAAATACTATTTTAGAAAAAGATGACCACTGTGGCCGTTAAGACAAACACAGATTTTCAAAAGTCTTCTCTCTGAGTGAAGCTACTATAGATCAATACTCTGAGAATACTTTTTGAAAGAACATATGTACATTTCATGCTTTAAGATAAGTGTATTGGGAGGTTCTAGAAATACGAATTAACACTGTGGCAAGTTTAAGTCAAAGTCTCAAAGCTTATAAAGACATTCTAAACCTGGGGTGGGGTATCTAAAATTTTACTTGTAGACTGTAGGCTCCCGGGCCCTGTTTGTGGCCACTCAGTAAGGGCGCTGCATTATACCCAGCAGATGCCACAGTTCAGCACTGACTATAAAGCTCTGGGTTGGCACAGCCCAACAGAAACATAAAGGCACAATGTAATTTAAAATTTTCTAGTAACTATACTAAAAAGCATAAAGGAATGGATGAAATTACTTTTAATAATCTATTTTATTTATTAATTCAGTGGTCTAAAATATTATCATTTCAACATGTACCCCTTTTGGGTACTAAGTTTCTGAAATCCAATGTGTATGTTACCCTCATTGCACATCTCCTTTCAGACCAGCCACAAGAAACCACATGTGGCTGGCGGCTATCCTATTTAGACAGTGCAGCTCTATCCTATTCAGGATGAACAGACAGACAAGTGATGCCATGGGAGTACCAGGGCCACCTAAATTCTAGGGTACTGAGACATATTCTAAACCATGGCACCCTCACAGTTTCAGGGTCTGGTGCTTCCAAATGTGTTCGTGTAAGACTCTAGCTAACTTGCAGCAGTAACTCCCAAGTACTAAATATTTCAATCTTGGCCTTTCTGCATCTGCTTGTATAGAAATCTGGTCTTGGGGTAAGAGCTGGACACTCCTACTCTAATGCACTGGGGAATAAAGAAAGACAAGCTGAGTCATCAGGTCATAGTGATGTCAGTTCTTGTCCAGTGTTTTACTCACATGTTAATATAACTCATTTATTCTATAAATACTATTGAGAGTCTTCTCAGAATAAGGCCCTAGAGAGAAGCATTGATTCGGAAAAAAAAAAAAAAAAAACCCCTAACAAAAACAGGTGGTAAACTATATTTAAGTATGTATTTAAGTATGTAGTCAGCTTTACTTCCTTCCTATGCAACTTTTAGAACTGCCATATTTTAACTAGAAGTAGAACTCTGTATGAAATCTACAAACCCTTGAGATCTTACAGACTAACCAGTTCTAGCCCTTCATGCTCAGTAAACTTTGCTGCCCATCTACTTACTGCTTTGCAGCATTAAAGTGATTACCTTAGATAAATGTGCCCTTATGGTTTCGTTGTCTCTCTCCACCACTTTCATCATTTCTTGGCCTCCAAGGTAGACAGCATTAGCTATATTAAAAAAAAAAAAGAGTCAAACACTTGGAA